TATTTTTTATTTTATTTTATTTTTATTTTTATTTATTTCTTTTAATTTTTATTTATTTATTTTATTTTTCTGTTTATCTTTTTTATTTATATTTTTTTTAATTTGTTTTTAATTATTTATTTTTAATTATTTATTTTTATTTATTTATTATTTTTTATTTATTATTTATGCATCTAAATTTTTTTTTTTACCTTTAATTTTGGTTATTGCAAATTTTAATTTTTTAGCCCTAGAGGAGCTTTCTTCTTGCAGGTCTTCATTTATCAGTTCTTTCACTTTGCAGGATTGCTGTTTACTAGGAGGCGAACTAAATTTTTCTACCAACTTTTCTAACTCTTCATTTCTTAATTTTCTAGCTTTTATCATTTTATTATCATCGCTGGTTTTAGAGTTTCCTTGGTTTGGATAACTTTATTTGATTACATTACACAATATAAAACAGATTTCTTTAGCAATACTAACTCTCCGGTGACAGAGATTATAGGTTGATGTTTTGTGGCATCTGCTATGTTAGCATAACGACCTTTAGAATTATACTTATATAATACAGACATTGTAACTTGGAATGCAGTTACATTATTATAAGCATCTCTTTTTAAATGGAAAGCTGCATTGTTGCTGTCAGAAGTGCTGGAATCTTAAACCAGAGCTGTGAAAATACCGAAGAGTGGTGATATAGGAAGATCATAAATTGACGGATAGTCTTCTGTAGTTTGAATCTTAAGGGAGGTATTTTGCTCAATAGTAACCTTAAATAGTAAACGAAAAAAAAATAACAATTAAATAAGCAGATAAACAAAAATTAAAGAAAACTAATATATGATGTAACATCTCTAATGATGGTTAATTATTTAGTAACAATATATATTTTTAATTTTTTTTTTACATTCAATTCCTCTATAATAAAGACGAATTGGCCAATTATCAACGATATGCTCCCTTTTGTGAATTCTTTTACTAGAGTAGTTTTACTGAATCTGAAGGCTTTGAATATATATTTAGTGAATTCATTTGGTCCAGTTCTATATACCACACTTCTGTTGCAGACTTTACTAGATCCAGAGACATTTTTGATATATGATATAGCACAGAAAATAGATGTCATGTTTTTTTTTTTTTTTTGTTCAAATTTTTTTTTTTATAAAATTGCTTTTTTTTTTTTTTTCTTAATCTCTTTAGTTAGATCAAATTCGGATAGAAGATTTTTTTTTCTTGATCTCTTTAGTCAGATTAAATTCAGATAAAAGATTTTTTTTTGTTTGATCTTTGTTCTCTTTAGATTAAATACGGATGGAAAATTTCTAAGTATATTTATATTCATTTTTTTTTCTTATTAAATGAAATAAGAAATTATTTCAATTTAAGAAATTCGAAAAAAAGGCTAATGATAGACAAGTCTCTGTTTAGGGGATTTTTTTTTTGTTTTTTTTTAACTTAACAATCATATAAATAAAAAAAAATATTTTATTTTTTTTACTTTTTTATTTTCATTTTTTTTTGGCAAGCAATTGGTCGAATTTTTGACAATAAACAATTATTCTAATAAGTCTTTTTTTATTATTACTATCATTTTATTATTTTATCATAATAAAGCAATAAGTAATAATTATTTAGTACAATTAGCAAGGGATACTATAAGTTAAGATGTTTTTAGCATGATTCATATATATCAATTCTACTATTTCTAATTAAAGAATTTTTTTTCCTAATTTACTCTAATATAAGTATTTATTTGTGATCCGTAAAACAAAAAGTGCATTCATATATAACACAATTATATACCGAATTTTTTTTTTATTGTTTTTTAAATAATTTCTAAATAAACTGAAATACAGGAACAATAAACTAATAAAGCACATCAAGCGTAAAGTAAAGGGTTAATTATGTTACTATTTACAGTACAAAATACAATTATTATATGTAAAGAGTAGTTAGACATGCATTTTTTAGGGTGATATTGCTAAAAATTCCCAGGTTTAGTATCAGTCATCTAAATAATTAGTATCAGTTGTCTAAATATAGAATTTCAGATGACACTTCATAAAATTATGCACTTTAAGTGGTTGTATTTAGGAAATGCATAATGTATTTTCTAATTTAAGGATCATGCAAGATGTTTTAATTCATGAAGTACAAAGAAATCTGTTTTTTTTTATATTCTCATGCGGTACATGATACACGAAGAATAGGTATATATATAACAACTATTCGAAAAGTGAAAAAAATTTTGAGCATAATTAACTTATTATTGCGCAGCTACTTCGATGCAGATACTACTTTTGATGCGCTAAAAAATACTAGCGCAATAGATTACCACTATACAATCAGTTGAATTTTGTAACATGTAAAATTACCAAATAAGGGTTGCCAGAAAACTATCAATTAACATAAATAAACATCAAACCAACCAAATCTTCAAAAAACATAACACTAAATTGAGATGATTACCTTTGTGCACTAATGAAACCATAGTTTACTCATTAAGTAAAACTGTTTAGCTGATAATTTTGGCCCAGAAATGGTTAACTTATATTACTAAATGCTAACTAAATGCTGGACTAAATCCAAAGTATTCCAACCCAGAATTTTGAAGATCCTCCTGTATGCAGTGTTGTCATGTCTACTATGTCCAAGATTTTTTTTAACAATGTCCAACGTCCAAACATCCAAGAATGTCCACAGCATATACAAGCTTTAAAAATTAATATATTAATTTAAAAAATATATGATTATTATTTTTTATAGTGCTGAATATTTTTATTTAGAAAGTTAAAATAGGTTAACCTAATAAAATTTTGAGCAAATTTAATTTATTTATTTGTCCAAAAATGTCCAAAAGTGTCCAAACTCATGTCCACAACTGTCCCGTAACAACACTGCCTGTATGAGTTATAATGATAATAAAAAAACTAACCTTTAAAAATATGGTTTTTGTGTAACTTAATTTATTCAAAATCTATCTTTAGTAACACTAATCATATAATAGTAACACTGCATAGTATAATAAAGAAATGATCGACACACTCTGCTGTTATAAAAGCATCAAAACCATCAAAGCATATAAAAGTACGAGTCCTCGCTCTGGATAATTACTAGGAACCGGAAACCGGTATAAGTTCGGAGCCTAAAATGTCGCAGATCAACTTTTTCAGGGGCTTTACAGACGGAGCTATGTTTTTGATATTGAAGTAATAATTTGAACAACATCTAGGGAGCTGCTTGAGAACACCCTAAATAAAAGGTTCAGACTTAAAATATGAGCAAGTTTTAAAACGCGTTGAGAGTAGAGTTGCTGGTGAAACTGGTGACTATCTAAAATTGGATTGGTTATTAACCAGTTTCACCAGCAACTCTAGTTGAGAGTAAAGGTTATAAAACATGTTGAGAGTAAAGATGCTGAAATAATTTCGCCACTATCGCTATTGGTAAAAGTGGTATTGATGAATTCAGATTATTTTGAAATTCAAAATTACCAATCGGTTTTAAATACGTACACGAAGTTGATCTTTGAAAATTTTTGCTGATCAGCCAATAAAAATACGTGTATCGATATGGATATCAGACCAATAAAAAGCATTTATAACTATTAATAACTGGTAATGGTATCGTGTTTTTCATTCACGTATCTTGAGCTACAATGAGCGAATCGGTGCCAACGGACCAATCGAATATTAAAGACGAACGTCTTGCAGACAAAGAGGAACAAAAGGAAGTTGACCTGAAGAAATTTCCTGCCACTGCAAGCGGTGTCATAGATGCTTATCCAGGGTTAAATAACCAAGACCTCCAAAACGTTATCTTACTTATTATCCTTTGTATGAAGCTTAATTACTAGTTATGCCACTTTTTAGATTAGTATTCCGTAAAATTAAACCAAAAAATTTGAATTTGAATCAAATATTTGATCAAATTCAAAATTTGATTTTGCGGAGTACTATTTTAAATCTTTGAAATAGACATTCACGTCTTATTCTGATAATATCAACTCGTAGATTTGCTCCAGGGAATTCCTGTTGGTTTAGCATTCGGTTCTATACCTTTCCTCCTTAAGTCCAATTTATCATATTCACAAATAGGAGTTTTTTCTCTAGCTACATATCCATATTCACTTAAATTGCTATGGTCTCCAATTGTGGACGCTATATATTCAAAACAAGTTGGACGCAGAAAAAGTTGGATAATACCTATTCAAATATTAACTGGATGCCTATTTTTTTGGCTTGGGAATCACATAGATAAAATGCTCGAGGTGTGTCATTGATTTATTTTAGAAATTATATCAATACTATCTACATGAAGGCTTTATTGGTACAAGTTTTATCAACAAATCACGCTATCTCAGTTTCATTAGTATGAAGCTTGCTGAGCATTGATTTCCGCTGGTTTTGATTCCTTCTTCTATGTCAATATAGGAGAAACCAGATGTCTATACCTTGACTATGTTGTTTTTCACTTTAATATTTTTTTCTGCAACGCAAGGTAGTAAAAGTACTACTAATAATTCGCTGAATTTCATTATCTTAAAAATGCTAACTACATCTTCTCAATTTTAAATGAATCAAGATATTGCAGTTGATGGTAAATGTTTCATTATTTAATAAAGACTTAAAGACTTAAATTCATGATTTTTGTGATTTCATCTATTCTATTTTATCTATTTTTGTTTAATTAGGCTGGGCTTTGACCTTATTATCCAAAAACAGTTTATCTTATGCTTCCTCTGCACAAACTATTGGGTTGAATACCGGTTATTTTTTATCTTTTACTGTTTTTCTTGCGTTCAATTCTGCGGAATTCAGGTAACATTACATTTCATTACATAAATATATTTATTCATAAGAATTTAAGAAATAATATGCTAGTTTTTGTTCAGCAATAAATATTTTAGAAGTGAGCCGAGTGTTGAAAGTATTCTGACGCTTGGGTCATACCTATCTTTTTGGTCTGTAGCTTATTTCGCAGTGACATTGTGGTTAATATTTGTCAAAAAAGAGGTAAGTTTTGAAATACATGTTTAATAGCTTTAATGTTATGATCATGTATATATGTATGTATACATATTTATTTATTTTTTACGCAAAATAAAGGATTCCTCATATTCCGACGATGAAATGGACATTGCAACTGTTTATAAAACAATATGGGATATTTGTAAAATGCCCCGTAAGAATTTATTTCCTTTACTCTCAAAGATATGATTTTTGTTGTGACAATACATTTGGAGATTCCTAATGTGTTACTTTAATTATTATATTATAGATTTACGCAAATTTATTGCGGTACTCTTAGTGTCAAAAATTGGTTTCATAGCAAATGAAGCTGTGACTGGACTTAAGCTACTAGAGAAGGGATTCAGCAAGGAAGATTTGGCTTTGGCTGTTTTAATAGATTTTCCCTTTCAGATCGTGTTTGGATATTATGCTGCTAAATGGAGTAATGGTAGTGAGCCTCTGAAGCCGGTACGTTTAGATTGTAAATTATCATTGATTTATGTCTTTTCTATTATATGAGTGATTTATAACTTGTCCTTATCATTAGTGGATATACGCTTTTTACGGGCGACTCATTTTTGCTATTGTTGGCATGTTGGTCGTTCTTATGTTTCCTTCCGATAATGAGATATCTGTTGGCTTTTTTTTATTTGTGATTCTTAGTACCGTAATGAGTTCTTTTATGAGGTATGATTTTTTCTAATATTAAAGTTGCCATCTTCAATTTAATTGTCATATATAGGTATATCCTATTATATATTTATAAACCATTACGCAGATAATAATCTTGGCTTTATTACGAATCAGCACGGTTCAATTTGTCAGCATTTCGGCATTCATGGCATTAATTGCCGATCCTATGATTGGTGGGACATACATGACTGTAAGTATAACTATTTAAAAAGATAAATTCAAAATTTTAATTTTAATTTCTTTTTAAATTTTATAATTTAGCTTTTAGCGACGTTTAGCAATCTGGGTGGTACATGGCCTCGCTTTTTTGTTTTAGAAGCAGTGGACTATTTCACTGAAGCTGTATGCTATAATAAATCGAACCCGCAAAATAGTAAGTTTGGCTTTTTTAATTTAAAAGTATCCAGATCTTTAACTCATCAAATAATATTACTAGTCGTTAATTGCATTACTGAAGAGGAAAAGACTGAATGCAAATTAAATGGCGGCACTTGCATTGTTAGTCAAGATGGTTATTTTTTTGTTTCTAATGTGTGTGTTTGTGTTGGTTTCTTCTTGTTGGTCGTGTTTATTTTACCTCAAACAAAGCATTTGCAGAGTGAGTTTAAAAGATTTTATTTGTTTTATGCTTTTTATTTAATCTATATTAATCTATCTCTTTCTTATTTCTTTATAGCATTGCCACCAAAAGCATGGAAGTTAAAAAAGTAATACTTTTAATGTATTTTATTTACACATACTAAGAATATTTGATGTTTAAAAGAAAAAGTACATTTGTCTATAATATACTATAATAAATTTTACATCAAAATTCTTAGTAGAAATGATCACGTTTTTTAATAAATAGAATATATGTATTAGGCATATTTTATCTAATATATAAAATTGGCTTGCAAGAGTTTTTTTAATAACTAAAATTTTATATAAATATACAATTAAAATTTTAATTTAATATACAGTGGTGTTATATTACTGTATTATTATAAACACTTTTTGAAATGCAATCATGTAAAATATAGTAAATAAAGGTAGTACGTATGTAATTCATATCGGCATCTGATAGATCTCAAGGTACAAAGGTAGTTAGTAAAGTAGTACGGTACGGTAATGCAAATTAGTACGGACGTACAAAAATTGGGTAAAATTTTGATAGTACGTACGTTTAAAAAAAAAAAAAAATCGTACTAGTACATACGAATTTCTTTTATATTTTAGTACTTTCGAAGTCTTTTAATAAATAACTTTTTGCCTTACCGTTAATATTTAAAAAAAAAAAAAAATAAATAACTTTTTTAAAATACCGAACTCAATTCCTGAAAACATGCATAATTGAGTCATTGAATTATAAATTTACAAGTTCGATTTCTGATTTACACCCGGCATTGATCCCATATTAATATTCGAATGTTCAACATTTTTTTTTTCAAAAATATAATAAAACAAAGTTTTAAGTTATAATCAGCATTTATTTAATTGCAAAGCGAATACAAATTTTTATTGAATTAATGCAAAAATAAGCATTTTTATTTAAAAAAATATAAGCTATCCAAATTACAAGCCCAAGCTTGCTTTCAGCTGCTGGTTTTGTAATTCAATAGCCTCCGCTTCAGCAGTTTCTTTTCTAACTCTGGTTTGACATTTTAATAAAGCAATTTTTCTTTCTTCCAATTCAATATCTAAAATTAAATCATTTTTATTGTTATTTTGCACCATGGATGTACCCTCAGCATTATTTGTTGATTCCATTTCCATTACTTCAATTGTATCTTGAAAACTGGATTCACAATGTAATCGTTTATTATTCTTATTAGTAGTAGAAATCTTTCTTTTATGTATATTAGTGCTTGTAGACCTATATCTTGTTGCTAAATAAATGAAAAAAAATTAAATAAATTTGATGTATATAGTTTTAATAAATAATTTTGATGTATATAGTTTTAATAAATAATTTTGATATATATAGTTTTAATAAATAATTTTAAAA